AAACAATAACTTATATATGCGCATAATACAATAAATTTTATTATTTTAAGTTGAAAGGAAAATATTAATATTATATCTATAATAATTATATTATATTAAAATATTAATATTATATCTATAATAATTATATTATATTAAAATATAAATATTATATTTATAATATTATATTATATTAAAATATAAATATTTAAGTTTAAGAAAATATTTCTTATTCTAATGAATGTGTGTGTATGTTAAATATAATACAATAAATATAAAACAATTTTATTTTTTGTATTAAATCTTTATTTATTTTACTATCTTTCAAAATAAAATTTTAATAATTTATGATAATAATTAAATAATTTATAATGCAACAATCTATATTAGAATTTTAATATAATAAATTTATATAGTATAATAAAGCATCAAGCACGTTGATAATTAAATCCAATACAGTATTAATTTTATTATTATGTCACGTTTCTTTTAATTTTCAGATTATTACAAGTTCTTTTTTCAAAATTGTAATTTTTTATTTGTTCTTCTTTTACATAATATAAGTTTTAATTATTTATTTAATTTGACATAAATTATTATGTAACATAATATATATTATATAACATAATAACAAAGTTTAATTACATATTCAAGAAATGCTGCAAAGAATCATGGAAAAACATTTGGAAAAAAAAACTGGTAGAAATTACGGGCCACCTGGTATGAAGAAATTAATTTATTTTATTGATGATATGAATATGCCTGAAATTGATACCTACGGAACTGTCCAACCCCATACACTTATTAGACAACACATTGACTACAATCACTGGTATATAAATATTTTAAATATTTAAATTGAAAGTACAATTTTTTATAAATTTTTAGTTTAACGGCTTTTCTCAATTTTGGCTATTTCACTACACTTTCTCTTTCTTTTCAATTTGCTCCATATGTTCTTTCCACCTTCCACATTATAAATATAAGATCTAACATTTCTTTTTATCTATGTGTTATTTAAAAACATAGACCATTAAAAGCTAGAATTAAGAATTGCCATTAAATTAGAAATTTATTCATTTTTTTTGTTTCTATTAGCAAAATATTATCTTGAATTGTGGCAAATTTAATTATGCTAGAGATTCCATTTATCTAAATTATACTGAAATGAATTTTTTTAATTGTATTAAAGTGAATTTTTGGTGATTGTCCGATTACTCTTCTATAGGTAGAATTCACTTCTTTCAGCATGAAATTTAACCATTATTTGAACAAGAAATTATAGGTTGTAGAGAAAGTCAATATTACATAAGCTCTAGTTTTGTGCAACTCAGATAAATGGAATTCTGCTAGTAATAAATCTTTGAAGTAATTACTATTTCTTACAAGAGGAATGTTTCTATTGTTCCTTATTTTTATCCGTAAATTTTGAAATAGACAGAAAAGTAAATCATTTTCAAGATGTTGCAATTTAATAAGATTAATGATTCCATTGTAGGAAAGAGAAGCTTCTTTAAATAAATGAAGGAACATATTTTATTTCGTTTATTTTAAATCTTTTTTAGAGTTCTAGCAATTAGTTTCTACCTATTAAAAATAAAATTATTTTGTAATAATATTAGTTGGTTTGAAACAACAAATTCATGATTTTCTTCACTGAAGATCATTTCTTCGAGTGCAATTTTTTTAAGTTAGATCAGATATTTTTCTATGATTCAATTAATGTGTCTTTTAATTTGCTATATTACTATACTATTATTATTAATATATTTTAATTTTAATTTTATAAAACTTATTGCATAGAAGATAAGACGAAATACAAAGAAATTCTTTTACCTGTGTTTTCTTATTGTTTAATGCAATGAGTTTTAATACAAAATTAAAATATTATTTAAAGTAATTATTTTCGAGCATACATACTTTTATAAAGAATTATAAAACATATTAAACCAATTAGTATCAATTATAAAACGTATAAAAAAATCGTTAATTCTATTTTTTAAAATTATTTTAAGGCAAATTAGCATGATTTTGATTAATACAAAATTATTTAATCCAGGTACGATAGAACGAAATTAACATTGAAAGAAATTCAGAATACGCAGTATGTATCATGCATGAATCCAACTGCTGGAAGTTTCACAATCAATCCGCGTTTACAAAGACATTTCGCTGTTTTTGCAGTTAGGTAAGTTAAAATAAAGTTAATTTAAGTAATATATACATTATTTTAACTTACAAAATAGTATTTTTACTTATAAAAAAATGAAGAATGTACTAGAATTATATTTCAAATATTAGCTTGATATATGTGAAGTGTGTAGTTTCTCCAGATGAAATTTTAATAATATGTAATTTAATCCTAATCTATAATTTACATTAATAATGATTTTTTTCAACGATTGATTAACTTCATTATTTTAAATTTATTTGCAAAATTCTTGAAATAAACTTGTTAAAGATTATTTTTAAATAATTTGCGCACTAAAAAATTGAAGAAATATCTAACTTCAATGATCAATTTATATTTTTAACAGGTTTCATAAAGCTTTCCTTCATATAATAAAATTTAGTAAATATTCATGATAAAAATTTGATATTCTTATTACATATTATGTATGAATCTTATGCAAATACCTAGCTGACAAATTACATTTGTTATACTAGTATATTTTCCTTATATTTCAACACATACAAATACATGATGATTCATATAAAAAATTGTAACTAGACTGTTTCTTAACATTTGTAA